TCCCTGTAACAGAAAACATCTGTTTGGTTAGTTTGTTTTTAATGGTTCGGTTAGCTCTTTCTACTAATCCTGAACTCTGGGGATGGTAGGGACAATGGAATTTCTGTTTGATCCCCAGTGCCATGTATACAGTTCATCACCTTCCCTGTAAAGTGGGTACCTTGGTCACTATCAATGAAGCAAGGAAGTCCCCAATGGGGAATTATTTCAGTCATCTGGGCTACGTCTACACTGGTCCCTTTTCCGGAAGGGGCATGTAAATTTCATGAGTCGTCGTAGGGAAATCCGCGGGGGATTTAAATATCCCCCGCGGCATTTAAATAAAAATGTCCGCCGCTTTTTTCCGGCTTTTAAAAAAGCCGGAAAAGAGCGTCTACACTGGCCCCGATCCTCCGGAAAAAGTGCCCTTTTCCGGAGGGTCTTATTCCTACTTCAAAGTAGCCTAGGGGTGTTTACGTCTTGGCTTGACAAAGCCCTGGCTGGGCTGATTTATTTGGGATTGGTCCCGCCTAGAGCAGGGGGCAGGACTTGATGACCTTCTGAGGTCTCTTCCAGCTCTATGGTTCTATGATTCTATGAACATTTGTATCCTTACCCACAAAAAAGAGCCACAGATATTTGCGTCCACATCCGTGGATGCAGCTATCTGCAGATATCCACAGATTTGCAGGGCTCTAGACAATGTTCCCTCTAATCTTTGCCATCCACGTGCAGATTTTTTCCATCCAGGTGTGGAATACATTTTTATGTGCACGGAGGCATGTCTGAATGTGCACCACCAGGAGAACAAAACCTAGCAGTGGGCGCTGTGCTAATCAGCTGGGCAGCACTGGAAACCTCTGAGCCACTGCACCAGTGCCCGGCTCACAGGGACCACTGTCTCTAGTGTAGGGTGTATCACAGGGACTAGAATGAGCCCTAGCTGGCCATTGCAAGCCAGCAGATTAGAGAGCAGCTCTTAAGCTACGTCTACACCGCAGGCTTTTTGCAGAAGAGTTCTTGCGGAAAAGTACTTGTGCAAGAGTGGGTCCACACTGCCATGTGCTTTTGCACAAGAGCATCCATGGCAGTGTGGACGCTCTATTGCGCAAGAACCCCTGTTGCCCATCCACACTGCCTTCGTGCGCGAGAGGGCTTATTCCTTGCGGGGAGAGGAATAACTCTTGAGCAAAAAGCCCTCTGTTCTGACGCTTTACTGTAAATTTACTTGTGCAAGAATGCGTGTGCAACATAGACACTCCTCAAGTTTTTGGGCAAGAACAGCCGTTCTTGCACGAGAAGCCTGCAGTGTTGACGCTGAGGGCAGTGATCCAGGCAGATGGAAATGTCACACAAAGACAGTTCTGGGCCAGAAGGGACTGCCAGGTCATCTGGTCTGACCTCTGGCGTATCACAGGCCAGCCACACCACCTGCCCGCTAACCCCAACTGGCACTAGCCCCATTCCTGCACGGGTGTGCCAAGTGCATGGAGAGCCTGACACGACCCAGACCACCAGAGTCCTAGCGCAGCGCCATAGCCACAAAACTGGCTGCCTCCTCTCTGCAGTTCACTTGTAGTTGCCAAGTCTGAGCTCCCAGCATGCCCTGAGGTGCTATCCAAAAGCTGCCCCATGGGTAACTAGAGCTCAACAGGTGCCAGCAGAAGGGTCATTACTCCTCCCAGAAGGAACTTATCGAGCCTGTTGGGAGTCAGGCACTTACATATCCTTGAGGATTTGGGCCAGAAGACTTACCCAGGGTCACTCAGTGCGGCTGTGGCAGAGCAGCGGATTGATCCCAAGTCCCAGGCGATCACCCGCGCCATTAAGCCACTTTCCTCTCTGCCCAGAGGCAGGCAGGTGGCAGAGAACTAGCTCTGTGGGTTCAAACTCCCCATTGGCGGGGGCTCCACTTGTGAGCAGCAGCACGAAGCAAGATTTGGGGACAAGGCGGGTGGAGCTGGGGCTAGGCAGGTCAGTCAAGCAAACCCTAGCCTGCTTTAGCAATCAGGGCAGAGAACCCCGGGGCCCCAATGCGTCAGAGAAGTGAGGGTGCTTCTGGAGCAGGGTTCCTGGGAGAATCCCAGCCCCAGGGATTTTCTTTGGTGGGGGGGGGGTGCTGGGTTCTACATTCCTATGCCCACAGACACCAGCTCACTAGGTTTTGCGTAGGCGAGGCAAATTGCACACACAAAGCTGACACAGACACAGCCCCTGGAGTCACAAGATCAGCTTGCAACTCTGGGCAGAGAGGGGGACTTGTCAGAGCAGCCTTTATTCGCAGCGTCATGAGATCAAACCGCACGCGGACTGAGGAACAGCTCCGGACGTACGGCTCCGGTGGGAATTTTCACAGGGCCCTGTTGATGAACAAGCTGGCAGTGACCTGGAAGGGTGACCACAAAACAACCGTGAGGTTCCACCCCCTCCTAGTGGACACGTGGAGAATAAATTCATTTCCTCCCCTGTCAAACTCAGCCTGATGTAACACTCCATGCGCTGTGGCCCTTTCCAAATCCTGAAACGGCTGGACAAACATTCACCACAAGAAACAGACAACCCCCTTGGTTACTTTGCAGTCGCTGGTGCAGGGAGGTGCAAATCAGACCATCCTACAACAGCATTGCCAGCTTGCATGCTTTGGTCATGAGGCTGGTGTTTTGCAGAAATCACCAGCTTCTGAAGTCTGGAGAATCTGAGCTCATGATTAATAATAATACAAGTTTCTAGCTCTCCCAGTAGCAGAGAAAAGCTTGGCAACATGACCCAATGTAAACTAAAAGGGGAGAAAGCAGGAGATGAAGAAGAGCCCAACATGTATAACTACTTTAAAAGTAATCTCATGATTTTAAACCAGTCTCAGAAAGCAAAGAATAATCCCTGGATTCAAATCACCACCTTGCTAGGTATCTGGTAACTCAAACGCTCATGCAAATACCATACAAAACATTTTTTGCCTTGGGACTAGGTGAGAAGACCATCATTCATACAAATTTAGGATTAACACTGCCATTGTAGGAACGACCAAAGGCTTCAACCAGTCTGTGTCCTGCTGTGCTTGGCACTGTATACATACGTACAAATTGACAAAGACAAGTTGGAAGCAGTAGAGGAGAGAGACATATGAGCAGGTTGAGGTAGGGTGTAGGACACAGAGTAGCAAATAAATATAATTCTTATAACCAAATTAATTGCCCCTCAATAATAGTGATCGCCACCAGGTGTTAGGCACTTAACTGACAGATGCTTTCTGGCCAAAGGAGCTTGCAGTCAGACAGAAAAGTACCCCAAAGTCGAGGAAAAGGGACCAATAGATATTGTATAATATTTTAAGTGTCACCAAGTGGTGCTCTTATGCACAGTCTGCCAAGTTTTCACATGTGAGCAAGATTAGAGTCTCGGGGAGACATGCTGTGTAGCCGGGTTAGGTGAGGGTTTCGTACAGAGGTGGCTTGGGGAGAAAGGGAGCAGGGAGAGTAGCCAGCAAATTTGCTCTCTACCTTCACATGATTGTCAGTTTCTGAAGCAGAGCTGCCCCATGGGCATGGGGGTTGGTCTAAGATTCTCACCCTGCAATCTGTTTGACCATCTCCTGTCGAGACTGGCGCTCAGATGTAAATACAGTGACTGCACCTAGAATAGGCTCAGTAATTTCTCCTATAGGGAAGCCAACCAGCCGGGCCCTGAAAGAGCTAATGTGACCCTGGGATGCTGAAAAGGAAAATCTGAAGAGGAGCACAAGATAATTTGACCTCTGCGTTTGGCGCTGCTGCGGGAATCCTGTGGCCACTTCTGAGGCCCACGCTTTGCAAAGGATGTTGATGAACTGGAGAGGGGTCGAACAAGAGCCACAAGAATCATTAAAGGCTTAAAAACCCGTCTTAGAATGAAAGCCTCAAAGAGGCGCAAATATTGAATAATGGGCTCTTCAGTCCAGCGCAGAAAGGAATAGCATCGCCTCATGGCTGGACGTTGAAGCTAGACAAATGCAGACGGCGAGAATAATTAACCACTGGAACAAGTTTACCAAGGATTGTGGGGGATTTTCCACGACGGACAAGTTTTAAATCAAGAGGAGGTGTTTTTCCGAAAGGTGGTCTGCAGGAATTTTTTGGGGAAGTTCTCTGGCCAGGAGGCCAGACTAGAGCTCCAGTTCTCAAACAGCAGGTCAGGACCCCACGTGGGACACGAGTCACAACCCTGCTACACTGGGGCTACGTCTAGCCAGCAGCGCTATTTCGGGAGACCAGAAGTAGCCCGCAATAGCAATTCTGCGTCTTTAAATGCGCCCGTTATTTCAAAATAGATTTTGAAATAACAGGCACGCTAGTCCGGCAGCCCTGTAACCCTCGCTCCATGCGGGTTCAGGGCCTTTCGGAATAGTGCTTTATTTCATAATGAGATCGAAGTAAGAGACGCAGTTTGCGTAGCTCAAATAGGGAAACCTTATTTCGGCTTACGGGTGCAGGGTAGATGCACCCTGGGTGTCCAGATGTCCCAAATTTAGAGGAGAGTCTCACTGCTGGGGGGCTTTTTCTCACATAGGTATCTCTTACCCCCCCCCCCAACTCCACCCCCTCCCCATGCTTCATGCTTGCTGTCTGGTCAAGGCCGATTTTTCTTTTTTAAGGAGCCAAATGCCCTGACAAAGGCCTCTGGGCCAGCTCTGAGCTTTCCCTTGTGGTCCTCGGATGAGCCCAGGCGGCCAGGGTAAGAGGTGCCCATTTAAGTAAAAGCCCCAAATGTCAGGGCTATAGAATCAGGGTGTCTGGTCACCCCAGGGCCGGAGCCCCACTTCACTCCCTTGACTTCCGTGGGGCTAGACAGTAGCTGCAATTTCGCCCCCCGGCCGTGGCATGACCTTGCTCCTCAGCGTGCCCCAAAGTGCACACTTTGCACACAGATTTCCACGGATGGGAGCTGCAGTTGACTCAGGCTTGGGGCATATTCGCCCCTGTTGTTGGAGGCTGTGTGGAAGAAGGCTCCTCCTCCCTCCCCCTCCTCTCCTTGTGGCGTCTGCTGCCCAGAAGCCCTGATAAGGTGTGTGCACAAGATGAAAGCAGAGTGGCCCGGCTCACCCTGAAACCGCCAGCAGCACTCTGGGGTTTATGACAGTCACCAAAGCCAAAGGGAAAAGTCCCCGGCGTGGAGGTCTCAGGACCAGCCAGTTTCAGATGAGCGCTGGGGGCCAGCCAGAGTCACTCAGTCGCCCAGCCAAGTCACTCCGGGCGAGGGGCTTTCTTAGCCATGGACGCCTCATGCATGGAAGGGTTCGGGCAGTTCGCGCACCAGCCTTCTCTTCAGCCCACACTGGGAGCGCCTGGCTTCTCCGTCACCCACTGCATTTCTCAAAGTGCCATGCGAGGCTACTGCCCCGGGGCGCTCCCAGGCCCCGCCGACCTACCGGCCTACCCCCAGGACCACTACCACAACGGAGACTGGTACGGGCAGATGCAGGACGGTCCCTACCCACCAAGTAAGTGAAAGGAGCACAGATTGTAGACTCTCCTGCCCCAGGCCCACTGGAAATACCAGCTCACCATCAGCTCGCCTTCCCCAGAGAGAGAGGAGGAGACCTGAGTTTGGCTCTGAAACCCAGAATTGTCTTGCTTCTTAGCCTTAATCTTCACTGAACCCTTGTCGCGCAGGGGGCTCTCGATTTAAATTGCATGATATAGCCCCCTAGCATTGATCCAGAAGGCAGGGCCAACTCCTCTGGTTAAAAAAAACCAGGACTTTTCATTGACCTGCCTCTGAAAAATGTGAATTGATTTTATAATTCAGATAGATAGATAGATAGATAGATAGATAGATAGATAGATAGATAGATAGATAGATAGATAGATAGATAGATAGATAGATAGATAGATAGATAGATAGATAGATAGATAGATAGATAGATAGATAGATAGATAGATAGATAGATAGATAGATAGATAGATAGATAGATAGATAGATAGATAGATAGATAGATAGATAGATAGATAGATAGATAGATAGATAGATAGATAGATAGATAGATAGATAGATAGATAGATAGATAGATAGATAGATAGATAGATAGATAGATAGATAGATAGATAGATAGATAGATAGATAGATAGATAGATAGATAGATAGATAGATAGATAGATAGATAGATAGATAGATAGATAGATAGATAGATAGATAGATAGATAGATAGATAGATAGATAGATAGATAGATAGATAGATAGATAGATAGATAGATAGATAGATAGATAGATAGATAGATAGATAGATAGATAGATAGATAGATAGATAGATAGATAGATAGATGGGGTGGGTGGGGATAGACAGACAGACAGAGTGTGTACATCAGGAGTGTATGGGAATGGACACAGATAGCTAGAGAAAGATCTCCAATGCATTTATTTTTAAATCTTAAGCAGCATGTGAAAAATAAGAATGGAGAAATACAAGACACTGCGTTGGCTGCACTTAGCAAAATGCTCCGTTGGTCAGTCAGAGGTTTGCCCTTAGTAGGGCGCCAGGACTTGGCCTCCGGTTTACAAGAACACCCCACGTAACGCTATTCCAATGAACACATTTCAGCCCTACATTTTCAGGCTCGCTAGGAGCAGGAGTTGCCACGCCAAAGCCAATAGGCCCCACATTTACGCCCCAGGGTTCAATGGAGTTGCTGATGATTTACAGAGAATGAAAGCTTCCTGACCAAGCCCCTTGGCTGGTGTAAGAATGCACAGCTCCCTTCCTTTGCCGGAGCCCTGCCGGCTTACAGCAGTTGGGGACTGCACCCTTGGCATGAATGGATTTACTGAGCTGCCAGTGTTCCCTGGGTACCAGGGAGTTTGCAGGAGCATAGCTCCAATTCCAAAGTCACTTCTCTAATGTCAGATTGCAAATGACGCGATTCCGAACAATCAGCTGTGAAGAAAGTGACATTTTTCCAGTTCAAACAGGTGCTGGGACTAGGAGTGTGGGGAGGGGAGGGGTGCAGCACCCCCCAGCTTGCTGTGGTTTCCATTAGATAGAAGAGTTATGTCAGGTGCAGTGGTTCTCAGCACCCCCATTTTACAAACTGTTCCAGCCCCCCCAAGTTCAACCCACTTGGCTCACTGATTCGCTGGACTGGTGTGTAATTATAGGAACGTGTCTGTAAAACCCTAATGGAAATGCATAGACGCGCGTTAACGTGCTAGTGCAAAACAAGCTCTCAGTGCTAGCTGAAGACAAGAGATTTGAATATGGCCTCGTTGGAGGGGTAAACTAGCTCGAACACTAGCATTGTAAGGAGCAGAAATCTACTGAGAAAAGTGCTTCTGAGAGTAATTTAACCATTGGAACAACTGACTGAGGGATGGGGCAGATCCTCCATCATGGGCACATTCTACATCAAGACCTGCTCCAGGACTGATTCTGGGGTAGGTCTGACGTGTGCTGTGCAGGGGTGAGACTGGCTGAAAGCGCTGGTTCCTTCTGGCCCAGGACTCTGAATCGATACAAGAGCTAGGTTCTATTATTAATTATCATCATCATTAGTATTAGTACGATAGCACATTCACTTACACAGCAAAAGCCCAAGGATGCGTCGCAATCAAATATAGAAACAATGAGTATCAGATATCATTTATTACACTGATATTCAAATAATCAATTCAACTCTAAGGGAGACAGACGGTGAGAAACAAAGAAAGGAAGAAAAGGAGCTTGCATTTTACTGAGCTGGAATATTTGAATTTTTCCTGTCCAAATGTTTCCCCATTTATCTGATCCTCAGGAAACTGATTCTGATTACATCCTGCTCTGCTAAGTGTATCACGAGGGTTTCCATAATTCACTGACTGTAAAGCCAGAACGGGCCCTTGTGATTGTGTTGTCTGATCTCCTGTATCACACATGCCATAGAATTATGTTGTTCCCTTCCAAAAAGAAGCTACAATTTAAGATCAGCTGACGCACAGTTTGGCTTCTCATTCTTTTAAAATCCTGTTGCTTACAGGAAATATCAAGGTTAATTTCTCCCCCGAGGTTTATAATCCAGTGCCTGTTTTAAACAGGAAAGCAACCTACGTTATCCAGTGCGGAGGGGTGTAGATTCCCTAGGGTGCAGGTGAGATATTGTAGTGTATACATTTCTGCGTGTCTCCTGCTGACTCAAGCTGAGGAATTAATAGTTGGGTCAGATTCCAGTCTCTTTCACAGTGCGTGACTCTGGGGCACACCACTTTGTGGAGCTGGACAGAACAAAGCTGCATTCTACACCCGGGAAACTGATGAAGGAGACTATCAGATCCTCAGCTGGTGTCAATCACTATTAGTGGTGCAAGGGGCTGGGAATCTCTCCCCAGCCTCCTTGGCGCTGGCTGTTCATCTCATAGCTAATACCCGTTGCTGTTTACCTCCGAACAGTCAGTCACTCGTCCCCCGACCCAGTACAAACCTCTCAGGGGTTTATATTTAAAACTAATACTTAAGACCTGCCTGTCGGACCTGGAACAAGGGGGTCAAACGGGCTCCTTGGGAGCCATTGCCAGTCGGTTTGGAGCCTTCTGCCCGCCAGCTGAGCACGTCTGATGCAGAGCAAAGAAGCCCTGTTTTTCTCTAACATACGCTCTGTTCAAACCAGCTGTATTTTGAGGAAATATTTATTATTGCTCTGGCCCATGGCAACCAGGAAGCCAAACGGGATGATCCCAGTAACCTCTTCTGACCAGCCAGGGAGTCTATCTCTAGAGAAGCAATAACAACTCCCCATAGTTGCTTGTATATTTCCCTACCTCCCCAAAATGCAACCCTCCTAGTTACCTTTCCTGCCAGCTCTCGCAGCTACACACAGCAGCGTGACGTGGGGTGTATTGGCATGGTGGGGGCATGTTTTACTGGAGAATAAAACTCCAGCGATACCAAAGTTGTGGCAGAAGCTCTGGAAGGTTTAAATTAGCTTTGCTGTTCGGCTGCCGATTTTTCAGAGTGGCTCTAAAATCCTTTCTGCTAAACAGATTTAACAAACCACGTACAACCCTAGAATTTTAAATCTCACCATCAAAATTGTTTAAAAGAGTGAGGCCCGGCCGCTCTTTTTTACTTTAAAAACCCCAAGATTGAAAGTAACCATGTCAACTAGTTTCACTTCACGAGATGAGTTTATGCTTCTCCCTGCAGACTCCCGCTCAATTTCCCCCCTCTGTAAAATGCAGATCATGGCACCAAGCTGCCTTGGTCCAGTGCTTTGGAATCGAAGGATGAAAAGCATGCCCCTGCAACTTCCAAGTACCGCTTGGCCAGTGGATTTTTAAGCAGAAACCTCCATTGAAATCAGTGAGTAATTTGTAATGAAAGAGGTGCCAGAGCTCAAGCAATGACGTGCCAGGATGCAAACAGTTTTTTTACGTTAGTAACTGACGTGCCAGCCCCAGAGGTGCCGGCATTATGAAGTGCCAAGCTCTGACAAAGATTAAGCATAATCACAGAATCTAGAACTGGAAGGAACCTCGAGAGGTCATCAAGTCCAGTTCCCTGCCCTCACGGCAGGACCAAGCACATTCTTCTAGAGCATCCCTGGCAGGCGTGTGTCCAGCCCGCTCGTCAATATCCCAGGGATGGAGATTCCACAACCTCCCCCGGCAATTTATTCCAGTGTTTCACCACCCTGACAGGCAGAAAGTTTTCCCTAATGTCCAAGCTAAACCTCCCTGGCTGCAGTTTAAGCCCCTTGCTGCTTGACACATCCTCAGCGGTTAAGATGTTTGATTTTTTTTTTTTTGGCAATAGTGTCCCACTGTTGACTCCTAGTTAGCTTGTGGTCCACTCTGACCCCTGGATCCCTTTCTGCCGGACTCCTCCCTAGACAGTCGCTTCCCATTCTGTGTCTGTGACACGGATTGTTCCTTCCTAAGTGGAGCACTTTGCATACGTCCTTATTCAACTCCATCCTGTTTACCTCCGACCGTTTCTCCCGTTTGTCCAGACCAGTTTGAATGATGACCCTGTCCTCCAAAGCACTTGCAACCAGCTTGGTGTCATCTGCAAACTTCATAAGCGAATTCTCTATGCCCTCATCTAAATCGCTGATGAAGACATTGCTCCTGGCTTAGCGACTGGGAGCAGAGAATTGTTATGCTAAGGATTTCTCACAGACTCATAGACTGTAAGGTCCAAAGGGACCATAATGATCATCTAGTCTGACCCCCTGCACAGTGCAGGCCACAGAATCTCACCCACCCACTCCTGGAATAATCCTCTCACCTAGATCTCAGATATTGAAGCCTTCCAACCGTTTAAAGACCCCGAGATGCAGAGACTCCTCCAGCTGTGCCCTGTGCCCCGTGCTAACCCTGATGGTTAATATTTGGAAGTGACGTTGCCACTAGCTGTTTTCACACGACCCTTTAAAGCCAAGGGCCCAATCCGGCGTCCAGACCCGCACACACGGAGCCCAGGAGAGCTGACTCGATGACACGCGTTACCCAACACAGTGCTGTAGGCAGGTCATTGATTTCCCTGGGGCTGCCCTGGGAGCAGGGGCCTGTTGGCAGGGTCGGTCTCAGAGTGATCCCACCTTTCTCCTTCCTTTCCCAGTCTCGAGGCACGTGGGGCCATGTGGATTTAACATGCCCAGCGCCGGCTGCCTGGGCTATCTCGGCGAGGTGGCCGCGTCCACCCTCTTCCTGCAGAACACGGCCAGGCGGAAGAGGAGGGTGCTGTTCTCCCAGGCGCAGGTGTACGAGCTGGAGAAGAGGTTTGAGCTCCAGAAATACCTGACCGCTCCTGAGCGGGAGCATCTGGCCAAGGTCACCCACCTGACCCCCAACCAGGTGAAGATCTGGTTCCAGAACCATCGCTACAAGATGAAGAGGCAAGCCAAGCAGCGGGACCGGGAGCAGCTGCACAGCCCCGCCTCCGCGCCCCACAAGAGCTGTGCCAGCAGTCCCCTCGGCTCCCACGCTGACTGTGGCTTTGCCGACCCCACGCTGGAGAATAAATACAATCTCCCTGGACTGGAGCGAGGGAATCTCAGGGCCCAGGGCCAGGCTGTGTGCCCCAGCACTGCTGCAGACTGCCTGCCCAAGGCCAGTAGAAGCCTCGTATTTAGCAAACCATGGTAGCTTCATGGGGGGGCCGTTTCCCCCGAGCGAACCGAGACAATTCCACAAATTCCACCCGAGTTCACAGAAACTTTCCCCCACTCCACATCTCTATTCTTCCACCTAAAAGAGTTTCCGCCAAAATAATTTGGCCCGGCTCTAAGCAGGCTCTGTGCTCCCCGTTTTTCAGCTGGGGCGTTGGAGACAGACGGCAGAAAGGCCTTGTCCAAGGTCGCACGGGGAGCAGCAGGGACGGGAATGGAGCCTTCACCCTTCTTTCTCCAGACTTCTGTGAGGCTGCGCCCGACGCTTGAGCGTCAGAACTGGGATGATGCCCGATGGCAAAGAGAGAGATGCTGGTACATCATGGCTGTGTCTACATTGGCATGATTTGTGCAAGTACTTTTAACGCAAGAGTTTTTGCGTTAAAGTATTTGCACAAGAGAGTGTCTTCACTGGAACGTGCTTTGGCGCAAAAGCATCCATGCCAGCATCTCTCTTGTGCAAGAAAGCTCTGATGGCCATTTTAACCATCGGGCTTTCTTGCACAAGAAATTCATGTTGCCTGTCTACACTGGCCTCTTGCACAAGAACAGTTGCTCAAGAGGGCTTATTCCTGCGCGGGAGCATCATAGTTCTTGCACAAGAAGCCCTGATTTCGCACATTAGAACGCCAGTGTTCTTGCGCAAGAACTCCCCGGCAGTGTAACCAGCCAGCAAGTTTTTGCGCAAAAGCAGGTGCTTTTGCGCAAAATCATGCCTATGTAGACACAGCCATCCTGTCTGCAGCGCTCTGCTGTCCCCACGGCATGAGGAAAACAAACACACGGCGTTTCTTAGCACAGAGGCTTTGCTCAGTGACTGCGTGGCAATGCTAGCGAGCAATGGTTGGGGCTAATAAATCTTACACCTGGGAAAAACACTTTGTATAAAACTTACCCCTGGGAAAAAATGCCAATTATTTTTCACTGTTCATTTGTAAAAAAAAAATGTTTTTTTTCTTCTTTCATCTCTGCCAAATTTTCCACCGTCCCTCCCAAAAAACCCTCATCCCGAAAAAAGCTATTTGGAAAATTTGTTAGGTAAGAAATATTTGGGTTTCAAAAGTCAAATAACAAACATTGTAACTAACCCCAGACTGACAATTTGTACTGAACAACGTTCAGTTATTTTACAAAAGCAAACATGCAAGCTCGGTATATTTCCTTAAAGAGAAGAGGGATTTGAATGCAGCCTATAAGTATCCACATGAGGAACAAAATATTGTATGTAGCCGAGAGAGGTACAACAGGATGCAGTGTCTGGGAGATGAATGTAGACAGATTTAGACCAGAAATAAGGCACAGATGTGGAACAACTTACCCCAAGGGTGCGGTGGCTTCGCTAGCGTGTGACACGTTTTAAATCAAGATTTCTTTCTGAAAGTGCTGTCCAGGGAGAGCTCAGGCCTGTGTGATACACATCTCAGAACGATCCCTTCGAGCGGGGAATCTAGGGGGGAAAACACAACAGGAAAATGGGCCAAAATGAACCTTCTCCATTCCAATGTTCATCCTGGTCGACACATCAGGAAAGTCAATGGTTTGGGCGTTTTCAGTGCTTTTTTGGTAAGAAAAAAGGTGCCGGTACTCCGGGGGGAAAGTTGCTGAGCAAAAAAAAAAAGGCCGGGGGCTGAAATACCATCACAGAAGTGGGCTTCCATCGCAAGCCCAGCCACCCCAGGAAAAGAGGTGCCAGTACGCCCGAGGGGAATGCAATTCATTTAAGTTATGCAGGGAAAATAGGTGCCAGTACGGCATCCAGGGGCATTCTGTCACAAAAAAAGCACTGGGCATTTTGAAAGGCTGTAGGCTAGAGACCTGCAGATGGAACACTCTGTATAAGGACTAGATATGACACTGATTATCTCATCACCCGCATTACATAATCCTTTCAATCGTACCGACTAACGCATTCCAAATCAGAGTATTGACTCGTCTTTAAATAACGTATAAATCAGAAAATCAATTGTTTCTTTGTAACTTGATCGTTTTGTTTCTTAGAACGACACTGAAAATCAGGGCAGCACAGTTGCCACTGGATCGCCCTGTGTATTCATATAGACGTGTCAAATCACAGCGCTGTTTATATTTTATAACTTCTGGAGAGACAGGTAAAAGGCAAAGAGTTAAATAAAATATCGCTGACTTGCTTAACAAATGGGTCTGGCTGTATTTTTCCATTCAGCCATAGGACATACTTTTTCACACAGGGTGTAATTAGCCTGTAACACTCT